TGAAGAGCACTTTTGGGGCTGTGTGGTCTGAGCCCCTAGTGCATGTTTCCATAGGGCGGCTTTAAGCTGGGAGGCCCTATCATGCCTACCCTTGGCAGTAAATTGATGGCATACCTCACAGACCACTGTGTTGTGCGCCTCTCCCAGGCACATGAGAAATGAAGCACGGTCATCAAACAGGGCCATTTTTGCGCCACAGTCAACACACCTTTTGAAAACTCAGTTGTGGAAATCAGAACACCAACACACTTCTAGTCGGAACATCCTCTCCTTATGGCAGCAAAAAGAAGACTGGTGAAGAGACTGCTCCCTCTCCTAGTCACGTGCTGGTTTGGGTGGAAACTGCCAGCTCTGGGTGAGAGGGAGGAGCGCTCCCTCAACAGCTGTAAGTCTCTACAACGTGGTTAAAATTCTCTCTGCTGCTGGTCTGCGCACACACAGTCTCATATGGGATTGTATAGAAGCCATGAAGATGAACTACAGTAATGTACTAGATTGGCAGCACCAATCACCTGTGGGAAGGGAAGATAATGGCCCTGGGTTCCATCTACTCACAACAGCTGGGGACATGGGTAACAGCTCATGCATCCTCTTGTGCTAGATGGTTGGATCCAACAATGGGATGTAAACATGAAGTATAAGAAATTCATACAACTGATTTTATACAACTGCCAAGATAAATCACTTTGGGCACATTATGGAGAGCGCAGGATATACATTGACCATATAATTATAAAATAATGTGGTTCTCAAAGAAGAGGTGAAAAGATAAGAATCTTATATCCTCTGCAACTAATGGGTACAAATACCAGTAACTAGAATTATTCCCCATATCCTGTGACTAGAATTATTCCCCATACCCTCTCTAGTATGGTTAATTTTCCTTTGCATAACTTAGTATTATGGAAGAGTTGCTTTCCCTGGCTCTTCTCATGGGACTGCTCTTCCCGTCACACACTGTTTGGGGGTTGTTTTGCTAGACAGTCCAACTGGTTGCAGCATGTTGCCCTATCAGACTTATTCTGATACGCCACTTTGAACTCCTCACTGAGCTAGCTTATTTCAGCTCCTCAGTGAAGGTATTTTAAACAGTACTAGCTACCAAAGCCTTTTCCCATAAGGCAGCTTTTAGCCAGAAGGCCCTGTCTCTTCTAGGTTTGGGTGTGAATTGTTTGAATATCAGGCACTTAACAACTTCATGTACCTCACTGAGACCGATAGGGAAGAGGGACTAGCTGTCAATTTGGGTTATATCTACTCTGCATCTGCAGCAATTTTTGAAAGGGTCTTTCTGAATGAAAGTGGGAATGGAACAAAGCACAGGCAGAATTAAGGATTTTCTGCGCTATTATCTTTCTAAGTGAGCGAAGTCTGAAGCAGTGTTCCCTCTAGGCTGAGTTAGCGTGAGCTAGCTCACAGTTTTTTAGCCTCCAGGTCACACATTTTTGTCTAAGCTCAGGAAGGATGGCTCCAGAGCAAACCAATTTATGCAGTAGCCAAATCGCTCGCTCACAACTTTAATGCCAGTAGCTCACAAAGTAGAATTTTTGCTCACAAGACTCCACAACTTAGAGGGAGCATTGGT